TCACCCCCCGCGAGCGCTGCGGCGAGAGCCTCCCGGGGGTCAAGAGCATCTTCCTCTTCCGCAACCAGACGGGATTCCCCGACGCCGACAGCAGATACGACGCCTACTGCTTCCGAGGTAAAGGAGGGCCTGTGGATGCTCCCGGGGCCATCACTGGGGTGTCTGGGCTGCTGCACCGCGTGCTTTGCGCTCCTGCGCGCTCTCGGTTGTGCTGCGCTTGCTCGTTGCAATGGTTGGCGCGTTCCCGGCGCCCTCCCTTGGAGCCTCTGGAGCAGTTTTCCATAGGGTGCCACTGGTGGGGATGCTGCATCCCAGTATGCAGGCATGGGCACCCGGTGGGGCCTTTCCCACCTCATCCCTGGGGAGTCCAGGATTTGGGATATGCAATCCCGGGACAGCGCTGGGGGTGTTTGGCATGCTCGCAGTGCTGCATGTCATGACAGAGGCTGCCTTGCGTGAGCTCAACGCGAGCTGATATATCGTGACGGAGGAGCAATAACCGGCCTGACTGCACCCCGTCATATCGCGATAGAGCGGGGCCCTGCCATCAGCTGGGCTCCTGCCTGCTGATATATCATGACGGAGGAGCAATAACCGGCCTGACTGCACCCCGTCATATCGCGATAGAGCGGGGCCATGTCCTACGCTGCCAGCAGCTGGCTGAGCTCCTGCCTGCTGATATATCGTGACAGAGGAGCAATAACCGGCCTGACTGCACCCCGTCATATCGCGATAGAGCAGGGCCATGTCACGGGCTGACAGGGGTTGGCTGGGCTCCTGCCTGGCTCTGTTGGCTCCCAACTCTCCGGGGCTCTCCGGGCAGCTCCCAAGGGTCTTTTGGAGCAAAACCAGAGTAAAAAGGAGCTGAAATGCTCAAGTGGTGCCCAGCACCACGGCGGCAGGGGTGGGGGGCACCCAAGGTGACAGGGACAAGCCACCATGAGCAGCAGCAGCAGCGGAGTGGCCAGGATGCCCTGGGGACACGTGTCATCCCAGCGGTTCCCGCTTCCTAGCATGATCCCGAAAGGATGGCGCAGCTCCGTGCCTCGGTTTCCCCCTCTCCCTGCAGAAGGGGACATGGGCATCCCCCCGGCTTTGTCCCGGCTCCCTCTGGCTCCGGCATGCCCAGAGGTGCCTCGCTCCATAACCCGGCCTCTCCTTCGAACACCCTTTGGAAAGGCCCCATGGAGACCCATTTTATAGGGGAAAATTCATGGAGGACACCCAGATTCCCCCCTAGAAAAATTCCTATGCCGGCGCTATCCCTAGGGAAGGCTGCAAGGCTTCGGCACCTGGAGCATCCTACCTCCGACCAGGGACAAGGCAGTAATATCCCACTTTCTTTCTGCCCACAGAAGGGACAAACTCAATCCCTGAGGCTTCAGGAAAAGCCCGAGAGCCCGAGGGCCTTCCCGGGATTGTAAGCGTGGCCGAAAAGCTGGAGGAGCTGCGGCTGCCCGGGGCGGACGTGGAGATCGAGTCGCGCGGCGCCATTTACGCCGTCCCCTTCCCCACCCGGGCCCCTGAGGACGTGGCCACTGGCCCCGTCCCCCCCACCGTGTCACCCCAGGGAGCGTTTGGAGGTACCTGAGGAAACCCCCCCATCCCGGTTTGGGACCAAGGCACCCGCAGGCCTCCGGAGCGGTTTTCCATAGGGTACCGCTGGGGTGGATGCTGCATCCCAACCCGGTGCAGACCACTGGGCATGGGCATCCGATGGCGCCCCCTCATCCCAGGGGAGTCCAGGATTTGGGATGTGCAAGGAGGGGGCTAGCGGCCACAGAGGAGGCAAGGAGGCCGAGCCTGGAGGTCGGAGCACCCATCAGAGCTCCGCGTGGCACCAGGGTGGAGCTGCCGAGCGGGCACTCGCTGGGAATGCCGGATGAATGGGGCGGATGGGACATCGCACTGCGGCTCGGGGCTGTGTCCACCTCGCTGGGAAATGCCGGAGGAATGTGTTTTGGGAATGGGGGAATATTCCTGCTCGTGCTGGCTGCTCCAGAGGGGGTGGCTGCAGATGGGGAAGGAGCCGACCCGCTCCGAGGTTTTGCTGGTGCCAGTCCCGTCGGTTCCATGGGGTCTCTCAGCGGCACCAGGGGAAGCGTCTCATGGCTTTTCCACCTTCCCTGTTGCAGAGCAGGAGTCGGAGCCGGAGCCAGGATCACCCCGGGGCTCCTCGGCAGCAGAGGAGAGCGGCGGCGACAACATCCAG